TGTGTTTGTGTTTGTGTTTGTGTTTGTGTTTGTGTTTGTGTTTGTGTTTGTGTTTGTGTTTGTGCTTGTGTTTGTGTTTGTGTTTGTGTTTGTGTTTGTGTTTGTGTTTGTGTTTGTGTTTGTGTTTGTGTTTGTGTTTGTGTTTGTTTTTGTGTCTGTGTCTGTGTCTGTCTTCGTGTGTGTGTGTGTGTGTGCGCGTCTGTCTGCGTCTGCGTCTGCGTTTGCGTCTGTGTCTGTGTCGGTGTCTATGTCCGCATCTGTTTCTGCGTCTGTGTGTGCGCGCTTGTGCGTGCACGTGCGTGTCAGAGAGGAAAAGGCATCAGTGTGTGTGTGTGTGTGCAGAGAGGGAGAGCGAGAGCGAGAGAGAGAGAGAGAGAAACAGAGAGAGAGAGAGAGAGAAACATAAAAAAAGAAAGAAAGAAAGAAAGAAAGAAGGAAGGAAGGAAAGAAAGAAAGAAAGAGCTGGCCCTATAAAATGCATGCCTCACTCGTCACCAGCGAACCCATCCTGCGGTGGCAGGCTGTCTGGCACCTGCGGCAAGTCGATGCTGTCTGGCCTCAAGGCAGTCAATTGGGCCAGCAAATCAACTGTCCTTTGTCTTTCCGTTGCCTTCCCCGGAAAAAATGGTACCCGTTTTCTCAATCAAAGTGGAGCAGGGAGGGCTTGAACAAAGCAGACTCTCTTCCCCGTTCCTTCTGTCAGCTCCCTTAAGAGGGTAGGTGGCTGCCTTTTCTCCAACAAGTCCAGGTCCATAAGTCTCTTGGCCACTTGAAACAGGGCTTCGCTTCAGCCCCTCGCTATTGTTTTAACATTGAACATCCTTGTGGGTGGCCCAAGGCAAATGTGGCTTCTTGCATCCTTTGGCTCCTCTATGGGTACATCCTCCGTTTGGTTCTTTGATCCCAACCAGCCCCACCCCGCGCCGATTTCGCCGACCCGATCCGATTCTGAGGCGTCGACACCGAGAAGCAGCACGCGAGCGCGAAGGCGCTCACCAAGAGCCATCGAGCGGCTTTGGACACGAAGCGGGCGCTTCGAACCGCCATGGCGACCGAAAGCTCGCCACCCGTTTCGAGCTTTCTGTAGGCTAAAGGACATGCACATGTATCTAGATTTAGGTAGGTGTGTGTGTGTGTGTGTGTGTGTGTGTGTCTGGCTGTATGTAGGTTTCATCTACGCTTCATGTGGGTTTATGTAGGTTCATGTAGATCATGTAGGTTTGGTTCTTCCTACATGCTTGTGACGTTTATGGTGGACGCATGACTCCCATGAAACCAGCTCGGCGCCATGTTGGCAACTGACGTGCTATTGTCAGGGGGTCGGCTTTGGGGTAGGCCCCTATGCCCGAAGGTTTACGCGGGTTGCTAGGTATCAGTTTTTGGGTAGTCCATTTCCTATCGGTTGGTGGTAATATGGTATCCATGTCAACATCTGCAAACAAATTGCAGGACTTTGGCATGCTGAGGTGTTTCCAGGAAAAGAAAAAAAAACGAGATCCCTAAACTGAATGTCAAGATCTCGTGTTTGGCCGCCAAACGCTCCGCTGCATTGCACAAGCTTCGCTTGTGGATGTTGAGTTGTCTAAGGAGAGGTGTTCCTCTGCGTGAGCGGCGATGAAATTGATCTTGCTGGTGTGAGAGATGCAGGGAATGAGAAATGGAATGACCCCTATAAGCCATCCCTTGTGGCTTCGTTTAAGGGAATCCTGAGGTTCATTCCCTCATTCCCTACTTGTCGCACCAGCAAGTGATTCAATGCCTGCAAGCTGTGCACAAAACTCACCCCCACAGCCCGGCTCTTGGGTGAGTCGTCCATCCAAAAGGCGGCGAGGAACGAATTCCAAGACACACTTGGGTATGATTTTTATTTAGAACCCTTTGGAGGATTTCATTTACCAACCACTTGTAAAGCGGTTCCCTATAATTCATAGCGACTTCAAGAACACCAAGCCAACGCAACGCGCGTGCAGCCGGCCTGAGGTATTTTTCCTCCGCTCATCGCGGGAAACAGGGAATCGCCCCGGTCGATTCCAGGCCGGCGCCCAGCCCCCAGACGCCGCCTGCCCACAACCCCAGCCATCGATGCCCCAGCCATCAGACAGCTTCCAGGCCGAATGCCACGCATTCGGCCGAGACTGCGCATTCATGGACAAATGACAAACACAGAAGCAACCGCCGCATTTTGAGCATGTCAACCCACTGGCAAGCCCCAAACGTTCACGGAGAAGAGCTCATTGCTTGCTCTCAGAAAATCATCAGACCTGAGCGAATCTCACTTCCCACTAGCGAATCTCACTTCCCACTGCAAGACATGGTGAGTCAGTCACAAGCATCGTCAAATCTGATGACAGGGAAGCTCTCGTGTCCCTGAACAAACCTTTCAAGGTGTGAAGAACAACTGTTGACCATGGAAATCAGAAATCTCATACGCACCAGAACCTCCTTCAGATTGGATCCCCTCAAAGGGGACTCAAGGAAGGGTATTTGTCAAAATGCGGGACCCCAAAAAGGTATGCGTGTTTCCTTTTAGTTTCCAATCTAAATAAACCGACCTCAAAAAGGATACCGAGACTCAAACAAAGCCTAATCCAGGAACATCAGGTCCCTTGTTCTTGTGGTGCTTGGATATGCTAGAAATTCTGAGGAAGCCAATCTGGTTGGAAACCCCAATTGGGAAGCGAAATCTAAGCTCAGGGACGGGAAAAAGCTGGATGCCCCAAGAATGGGTTTGTCTCAACATGGGTGTGTCTGATTTTGAGGTACGCCTTTCTCATGGTTTCAAGGCCAAACCAAATGGGACGAGCCACCCATTTGGACCGTCCAAGAAAGATGAGCCACCCATATGGGTATGGATCAAAATTAAACCACCAGGGGACCGCAGGTTTTGGTCCATGTTTCCACTTACTAGGGTTCCACAGCCATATGCACCCCCGAAAACGGGTTGCCGACATCGGGATTCCTGGCACTGGGCCATCGTTCGTGAGGCGCCCACCGCGAAGATACTGCCGAAGATCTGGCCGCAGTCCACCCAGTTGCGGCCTAGGCCAAAAGAATTCACGGGGAACGCTGTCCAACGCCGGGCTTACTTGCTTGTCTCTGTCTGTCTGTCTGCCTGCCTGCCTGCCTGCCTGCCTGTCTGCCTGTCTGCCTGTCTCTGTCTCTGTCTCTGTCTCTGTCTGTCTGTCTCTGTGTCTGTCTGTCTGTTTGTTTACCTTTTGACTTGATCGCCTCTTTGTTTGCTTGTTGGTGGAGGAAACCTCTAGCGAAACCTTTCTGTTGAAGCGTCCCCCTATTGAATGGCCCTCAAATGGGTGTGAATTTTGATTGGTGACCCTGTAATGCACATAAAAATAATACACGAGCATTTACATTGTCCAGTCTTGCCAGATAATATGGTAAAAAAGAAAACAACGTATACTTATATATATATATATATATATATATATACACCTATACCTGCATATATATATATATATATATACTTTTATAAATACCAGTACCTATACATATTAATACATACATACAGGCATAGGCCTCTGTTATATAAAGGAAAGAGAACCCACCTTATACATATATATATATATATATAAAGGAAAGAAAGAGAACCCACGAGCTAGGCCTCGGGCTGTTGAAGCCCAGCCACATCTCCGCATCCTCGCAGCGAGCAGATCCCCCGCTCTCACATCCCCAGCCCGGCCCCGGCCAAACGTGTGGCACCATGGGTGGCCTTTTGGAAAAATAGACGGGATTCCCTGGTACATGGGCAATAAACCATCTAAACCAGGGATCGCCCTCTATTTTTTGAGCAAACCAACCAAAAAGGACACCTATGTGTGGCACTTTTGAGTGGGAGATCATATACCACTTACATAAGGGTCTATACTGCGTAACAAGCTTATATTGGTGGTAGAAAAAAGCATCCATACTGTGGATGGTTGCGAAATCCATCCAACGCACCACATTTCAGAAACCCTGGAAGCATTTGATTCCACCGAAAATACCAACAAACAATGCTTTCCCATGGTTTCAACGCGGTGCAGGATTTCGTCCATCCACGGTAGGTCAAATCCCACTCAACTCGGTCAGAAATCCCACTCAACTCTCAAAGGCTTAAAGTCTAAGGCACCATATCGCTGGGAACCGCCAAGGGAATATACACACACACATACTTGCTGCCTCGAGATACGTAAGCACTCCCGCCCAAAAACCGGATGAAACCTGCCCATGTTGATTGCTACCCCTTGAGATTCTGCGATTCGCCCCCCAGAAGCCATGGCCTTCTTCATCCGCTCCACTGTGTCCTTGGAGACCACGTCCTGATAACATGTCGGTTTTGTCCATCGCCAAATGGCGACTAAGGGAAGTGCTGCGACTTCTCAAAACAACGGTGGGGCGGGCTCGAATGTTCGAACGGTGTGTCTTTTCACCAGTGTCGTCTATGCACAAGGCCCACATCCACTGGTTGCAAAAGTCTTTGGGAGACTCTGCGACGCCTTGATGGAGCCCAGTGCGGCCGGTACGGGCATTGTCTTTCTAGGCACTTTGGCTCGTCTCAGAAGGGGGGATGACTTGCGCATGGTGCCAACTTCTTGGTCAAAGACGCAACTTTGCACAATGCTCCCAGTATGGAATCTTGACCAAGGATTGACTTCATTCTTGGGAAACCATCCCCCCCCATGAATCTGCCTAGCTGATTCATCCGGCATCAGCGTGCCCACGCATTTGGAGCGAGCCGCTCCTCCTCCAGCAACGGCAGCGCGGTTTCGCACAAATGCTGCGCGAACTCCAGCTCTCTGAGCACCTGAGCACCGCTCGTCTGTTTCAAGGGGACCCCCAGAATGGCCAAACGGTTCTTCATTTGGTTTCCCGTTGCCCCTTGACAACCACACAAAAGGGCTACCCCAAAAAGAGACACACCCAAATTAAGACCGTTTTTGAGGCGTCCAGCTCTTCCCCTCTCCTGGTTTTCCTTTTGGTTTCCCTTAAACCAATCCCAGGAAAGGCACCCAAAACAAAAAATACCCCCGATTTGTTGTGCCAATTAGATTTGGATTTGTCTCTAAACAGGGGAACGACACAGAACCCCACGAAATGGGATTTCCTTTTGGTTTCCTTGCACTCCAGAAGACATACGCGCGCATTTTGCTAACCCCATTTCCTGGTCATTTGCAGGGTGTACCCGCCTCCTTTACCCAGCGATTCGGGGAATTGGGGGCTCCTGAGCTGCCCACTTGATCGGAGTTTTTATTCCCTGGCTCCTGTTGCTCCTCGACACTTCCCATGACGGCTGACCGGTGAAGAGTTGAGCAATTGACCGGGCTTCAATGAAACAGGTGCTGGGTGGTCCCAGAAAAAGCAAAAGCTATCAACACAGCCACTTTTGAGAGGTCAAACACATCCAGCAAAACTGAGACGCCTCAAAACGGGAAAAGAACATTGAGTACCTTGCCCGAAAAAGGAAGAACAAAAAAATGTCTGGGCCGCGGACCGTCTTCTCACTCACCAGATTTGGCCCGTTCAGGCGCCGAGTCTTCTCCTTGTTGGTTTCCATCCATCAGCTCAATTGGGCTTGCAGGTTAGGGCATGCAACGAGCCACTAACCCACACCACCAAATAAGGTGACATGAAAAACATATGAAAGCTCCAAAGCGCGGCTTTCCCCAAACTTCAAGCAACATCGACTGAACGGCAGGCAGGGTTGGGCCTAGAGCCGGTTGAGGCATGTATAGGCCTTATCCGCATGCCAAGAAGGTTCAGAGCGGGAAACCTGCAAAAGAAAGGGTGTGTTGGACCCAAACAACAGTTGAAAGGAGTCACGTAAATAGGTAGGCTGTTTTGTTTCTGGGCCATAAACCAACAGTCAGAAGGTGGTTGGGGGGAAAAAAAGAGGTCGGGACCCCGGTGTGCGCCAAGTTTCTATGCAGGAGCTCGTGTCCAACGGCTGCACCCAGCCTGAGATTCGGTGTCAAAAACATCGACCCTCACCTCACTTAACAGAAACCATTGCCCCAAGGATTTTCTATGCCCTGGGATTACACACTGGGGAAATGACCCAAAGTCATTCAAACAAAAATATGGGTGTACCTAGAAGTCGCCAATGGGGTCTGGGTCATTCCCTGGAAGTACTCCCAAAGCGCAGCCAAACATCCTTGGAACAGAATCGCGACGTCGCCCAGGATCCCTTATATTTGGTCGGTGAATTATTGAACAACTGGCGTTCTCCTTTCTTCGGGGATCCCTTATTTTCGGTGGGTCTTAATAAATTGCCAAGATCATGCCACGTACCCCTGCGACCAAATCGCCAGATCCAACCGAATTGCTCACTTGCCCTTGGGGCCTAGCTGGCTTTGTGGCCACTTGTAGTGACAAAAGTCAGCAAGTGGCTGTGGCTCAAAAACATGTACTAAAACAGCCCCTTGGTAAATGGAACCCAAGACTAAAACCTGCGTAACCCTAGCTCTTAAATTTCGAGCCACACCCAAGTGACATTCACGTCTTTCCCCGCGGGATAATGGGTTTGGAGTATTGGAAAACATCTGGAAGGTCTGACATTTGAATGCGTGATGTGTCTTTGGTGTCTTTCGTGAGGGTACCCTTTTGCAGCTGCAAAGATGCCATGGTCAAAAGCTCCAGGCATGTACTTTGGAAGCAAAACAAACGACCAAGCTTTCAACATCGGCTGAAGGCAGGTGGGTTCACAGAGAAATCAAAAGGAAACCACAATATAACATGAGCCCCCATCAATATGTTTAATTCTTGCGGGCCCACCGGGTTTGTGGGAAATGCGGATAGGTCCCCAATGTCCTTCCCGAACTAACAAAGACCACCAGCAGTCAGTTGCTCACGTGCATATTCCCCTGGTCGGATTCATAGTCACTCACCTATGACCATGCGGCGGAAGCCCCTTCTGGTGGATGTTTAACGGGAAATCAAGAGCCGTCTTGTTTGGAGGGAACCCTTTTCGGATGGTCTTTGAACGGGACACACCCAAAAGTCACCCAGCCGGGGGTTCCTATCTTCAGACAAATCACACCCGCGGCTCGTCTTGCTGGTTCTCAGCAGGCAGTGAGGGAAGAACCCTTTTGAACCATCAGTGGCTGTGGGTCAAAAAAGGATACCCGAAATGGAACCCTGGTAAATGGAACCAAGGACTAAACCCTGTGGTCCAATTCCTGGTGCCTAATTTTGACCACCCAAGTGGTTTCCTTTGAAGGGATCCGCGGGTTTCCCATCTCGACTCAGCAAACATCGAACTTCTCGCGCTTTCGATCCGAGGCAAGAGCCTTCGCCATGCTCCTTCACCAGTCTCCTTGCCCCAACTTCCAAGCCCCAAAAAAAAGCCGTGCCTCCGTGCCTCGTGCATGACGTGATTCATACCATGACGGGGTTCGTGTGTTTTTCAAGTACTATTTTCTGGTTGGTAAAAATAATTGGAGGACCACCATTTTGGGAGGTTATTTTGACCACGTACCCAAAAGCTCATGAGGGCTTTGGGACATGGAATCCACTTACCCTAAGGGTGGGGCGGTATGGCGGCACCAGGGTTCCCCGTACCACACCCCGACTTGCTTTTCTCGGGTGTCCGCTCGGAGCTTTTTTGGGGGCCTTAAATGTCATCAGGACCCTAGGATACCCCAAGTTAGAAATGGCCTCAGTTGGGAATTGGGCTGAATGGCCTCTGTCAAGAAAACACAACGGATGCAGAGCATGGCTGGGGTTCTTCAACCACTAAAAGCAAGTCTGTTGCCAGAAGGCCGCGTGGGGCTTTGAATCCTGGAGCAAGTGCACCATGTCGACGATGGGGCTGCCCTGAAACTGGGAGCCATCTTTCGAAGGGAAACTAACACAAAAGTTTAGGGTTTCCAGCATGACACCACAAGGAAACGGAACCAAACAAAGCCCTACGGGTTCCAGCATGACACCACGAGGACACGGGAAGACCAAACCATCTCTCGTTGTTTCCTTCTTTTGGAAACACCCAATTGGCGGTGGCCAGTTGCAGGCCTCAGCTGAAGCAACCACAGGTTCTGGGCCACCTTGGGGTGCACCTCGAGATGTTCGCTCCGGCTGAAGACGCTGGTTTCCCAGGGGTTGCTTTTGTTGGGGTTGCCGGATTCGGAAGGAAGGGAGGGAGGGAGGGAGGGAGGGAGGGAGGGAGGGGAGGGAGGGAGGGAGGCAGGGAGGGAGGGAGGGAGGGAGGGGGAGGGAGGGAGGGGAGTGAGGGAGGGAGGAGGACAGGAGGAGGGGGGAAGGAGGGAAGGAAGAAAAGAAGGAGGGAAGGAGGAAGGAAGAAAAGAAGGAGGGAAAGGAAGGAAGGAAGGAAGGAAGGAAGAAGGAAGGAAGGAAGGAAGGAAGGAAGGAAGGAAGGAAGGAAGGAAGGAAGGAAGGAAGAAGGAAGGAAGGAAGGAAGGAAGGAAGGAAGGAAGGAAGGAAGGAAGGAAGGAAGGAAGGAAGGAAGGAAGGAAGGAAGGAAGGAAGGAAGGAAGGGCAGGCAGGCAGGCAGGCAGGCAGGCAGGCAGGCAGGCAGGCAGGCAGGCAGGCAGGCAGGAAGGAAGGAAGGAAGGAAGGAAGGAAGGAAGGAAGGAAGGAAGGAAGGAAGGAAGAAGGCAAACAGGAAAAAGGCAAACAGGAAAAAGGCAAACAGGAAAAAGGCAAACAGGAAAAAGGCAAACAGGGAAAAGGCAAACAGGGAAAAGGCAAACAAGAAAAAGGCAAACAGTAAGGGAAAAACAGAGATGTAAAGACAAACAGGCCAGACCAGACCAGACCAGGACAAACTAGGATAGAGGCCTCACGGAAGAAACCCAAATGCAACATTCAAAGAAGCATGTGTCATTTCCCATCACCAAGTATAAATACATCTGGGACCTGGGGAGATGGAACTGAGGTGCTGGGAATTTTCTGGATTAATAGATGATGCGCAGGGGAGAGAAATTCCCAACCAATCCATCCGTTACACCTCTTCCTCGCGAATCAATTCGTAACTACTTGAAGCGAAGGGATGAGCGCTCTCTCCTCTCCAGGTACTGCCTGTGACTGGTGATGGGCACCTCTATTCCACCTCCATTTCCAGGATTCATAGAGGAGGTGGATAGAGATGGAGCTGGGAAATAAGTGGTGTCGTCCCAGCCCTTCCCTCATGTGCATCTCTATTCCTTCACTCACCTTCAAGTTCCTACAGTATATCATAGTGAAGGTGGGTAGGCGAAGGAAAGGACAGGCCGGACAGGCCGGACAGGCCGGACAGAACGGACAGACCGGACAGAACGGACAGACACAGACCGACAACAGACAGGCAAGACAGACCAGACAGCCCAGACAGACGAGACAAGATGGACAGACGGACAGACGGGCGACGGACAGACGGACAAGCAGACAGACAGAAAGCCAGCCAGCTAGGCCCACACACACACAGGCAGGCAGGCAGGCAGGCAGACAAACAAATAGCAGACAAACATACACACATGCAAACCCAATGAAAAAAAAGTGCGCCGGCCTCGCTTTGACAGGATCCGCAGCAAAGGATGCCGGCCTGCAATGGCGAACAGCAAGCTGCTGCTAGTCAAAACTTTTTGTTGAGGGGGTCTACCCCAAAGTTGTGTACCCTCCCACGAACATGGAACCCGCAGGGTCGCTTTTGGAGTTTCCTAGTCAGGTTCCATGGCAATGGGAGGGTGAGGAACCAAAAGACCAGTCGCAGCTTTTGATCCTGCCTTGGAGTCGGGACTCTCGCCAAGCAGGAACCTGCGACCAGCCGTCTGTTGAGATGGAGTTTAGACTCAAATACGGGGTGGTGAAGTTTGGCATTCGAAGGTTTGCTCCTCCTTTTCGATCGCAAGAAAGTTGGCCCTGGAGAAGGAACTTTAGCGGCCCACCGTCCTTTCGACGACTTTGCTTTGCGGCTTCTGTAGATCCGGCCCATATCAAACGAGTGCCCAAATGGCAACAGGGGCCGCCTTCAGAAGGAACCCACGCCAAATGCCTCCAAACCGTTTTCTAGAACTTGGGGGAGCCGCAGATTTTTTGGCCAGTGCGGCCCAAAGGTGGGCTTTGCTGACTCTTGACCCAGTGTCTCCTGGGTGCCTTCCAGTGGCACTGGTTCCTTACATGTCCGGTCATAAAGCCGGTCATAAAGGCCGGCCTGAATCCCAAAAAAAAGAACATGTAAGGACCAAAGGACCAATGTCCAAACCGATTCATGTGCTGGACTGTCCGAGCGCTGCGCCGCGGCCACTTCGTAGCTTCTCCACCTTGGAACCGAAGCGGCCAAAAGCCTTGAGACGATCGGCATGCTTTGGTGAAAGAAAAGTTCATAAACTGCCGGCTTCTCTGTGCTTTCCTCGAAAAGTGGCTCAAATCACTCAAAACAAGAGTCAACCAAAATGGAAAAGTGCCCTGGCAAGTGGAAAAGTAGACTCAAAGTTGCGGTCCCTGGCTCAATCTTGAGCCACGCCCAAATGCTTCTTTCTTCTTGAAGAGACCCCTGCTGTCCCTGTGGATTTCATACACCATTTTGGAGCACCCGCAGACTGACACAAAATCAGCAGTTCCCAGGGTCCAACGAAAGGGGCAATCTGAGATCTTACCCCAGAATGGGACATGCCAACCAACTTTTTTCTCGTGCGCCAACGCAAGCTGCCAGCCGGACAGCTGCAGCACGCCTTTCACAGGGGAAATATCAGCTTGAAAAAGCTACACAGAAGTGGAACACAGATTGCCCAAGCATACTCCGAACACATTTGTGTTCGAATATACTTGCAGCTTGGAATGTCAAAATGTGAGCTTGCTCAAGACCTGAGGACTTGTTCGGATTGGATTTTTCGCTTATGGTGGTTTAGTGGCTAAAATCCCCACTTAACTGCTAACGTCAACTAAGTTCTCCGAGCCTCAAGCCAAGGTTGGAGCACCTCGACCAAATCTTCCAAAGCTACGCTGGACAATGTGCCCAACAAGGACATTGAGAATGACCCTTGCCGGTGCTCGGCGGATTCGCCAGCTTTCCCCGACAAGTCTAGCAAATCAACGATTTCCTGCTCGCACCGGCAGCTCACAAACGTGGGACAAGGGGAAAGTCACGTCCGCAACAAAGCGCTTGTCCACCGGTGGGCGGGAGCCCTTTGGTTTCAGGTCCTCGCGCAGCCCTTCGTCGTACATCGCCTTGCAGGTTCCTTGGTGGCGATTGACTGCCCAAAAAGGGTTTAAGTTGTTGCCGGTTATTGAGGAATAGCGCATGTGTTCACAAAGTTTAAGCTCAGTCCAAGCAAATAACATTCAAGCTTCTGTCAAAGGCCTGAGCCGACAACTTGCAGCACTTCAAGTCCACGTGCCAGTTCACCTCGGCGGGCGAGCAAACCTCATCGTTGTAGCTTGAGCCAGTGGTGGAGCCCACGTACTTCACTGCCTGGCCGGGCGCCGGCGAGCGCCACTTCACGAGAAAGTCTGCATAGTCTGCCTCGATCTTGGCATCCGTGTCGAGGGAGGCGTTGTTGTAGATGAGGCACACCTGGCCACGCACGATGACGTCCGCATTGACGGTACGAGCAAAGGCGCCGCCCAAGCCATCAGCGATGCCCAGCTCGCCCTCATTGCCGTCGTCCGCCAATTGGCCTGGGGCACCGGTGGAGAAGACCCAATGGAATTCATAGGTGTTGCCCACTGACACATTCTTGCAGTGCTCGAAAGTGTAATCTGCCAGCTCCGGAGCGGTCAGGCCGTCGGTTTTGCAGAAGAGGCCAGGAGCCACCGTGCTCTCAAGACCTGATGCCGGAGGTGCTTGATCGTACTCTCCTTTGCTCCTGTGCTCGGCACCCAAGTGGAAATGGAGGTTTGCCTGCAGAAAGTTTCGCCGCTCCTCCTCACCGTAGGGCTCATACCTGGTTGTCAAGTGTCCGACATAGCCTGGAGTCACATCCCTCGGTGACTGTGGCTCGGCATCTGTGCAGGCAAGGTCTGCACACTTCACCACACACACCAAAGCAAGCAAGCAAGCTCTCATCACGGCCATGGGCTCGGTCAACGTAAGACTTTGATGAGGACCTTACACCCGAACATAGGCTTGAGCCACAAGCCGTTTTCAGAGGGTCTACAGTTGGGGCCAAGGAACTCCCAAACGTTCATTTCAAGTTTGACATCGCAACCCACAGGAGAAAGGCGACGTCCAATGGGTCCAGAGACTGGCTCTCCTTTCAGAAGTTCCCGAGGTGCCCTTGTGGAAGATCGATGGTAAATTATTAGAACCAAGCTGAATCCAGTTTGGTTCCATCTAGGTTCAACCAAGCAACCAAACACACTTGTGCTCCCTCGTTTTGAGACATACACGTCCCACGCAGATGCCACCAAATTTCGTGCTAGATACAAATCCCCAACGTATTTCTGAAGCTTCTCGAAGGGTAAGACCTCATACCCAAACTGCGCACCAGGGAAACGTTTTCGCTCCCCGTTTCGGGGCCTTCGGAGCACACCGGAAGTCCCAAGTCCGAGGCAGGGGCACTTCTTGCACCTCACGCCCTCCAAGAGCGAGGGGAAGCCTTTGAAGCGCAAGCCGCGGTCCTTGGCGAAGCGTTCGGCCAAACGAAAATCGGCCCAAACCGGGGGGCAGATGAGCAAGAAAAACGCGGGGCAGGCCCTGCCCAAATGTGGGTGGCAAATGAGCCAAAAAGAAGGTAAATCTTCGTTCAGCCCACTAACAATGAACAGAGTACAGAATGAAAGCAAACTGAACAACTAAGAAACAAACACATGCAATGTGCACCCACCTTGTGATTTGCTGGACAGAACCTACAAAGGTTCAACAACAACCAAAAACCAAATGCAAAGGACAGTCAAGGAGTTGACTGTGAGACGTATGGAAGGCCTCCACCCTGTAGGCTGACAGGAATCAAGCAGGTGCTCTCAAATGAAGTTGCTGACTCGCAGTAGAGAATGACCCTACTTGTAGTTTCCCTCTAAGATCCTAGGTTAATTCGCAAAACGCCGCATGAAGGCCAATGGATCATCCGTCTTTAGGAACCATCTTTTAGAGGGCCCCGAAAATGTCGTGGGTTCTCTGCACACCTTTTTAAGAGCTGGGTGTTGTGCGGGTTGAGAGTAGGGTGAGGTTCGAAGATGAGCTGGGCCGTCAGGAAGCCTCAAATTCCCAAGCCCTGGGTTCCCACTTTTGATCAGCCCCCGTTATTGAAAACACTCTCTCCAAAGGGAGGCCCACGACATTTTCGGGGCCCCCTAAAGGAAGCTTCCTAAAGACGGATGATTTATGGGCCTCCATGTTAACTTGCGTGGGCTTGGCCAACACCTTGGACCTATTGGACTGCTCACGCCTGGCCAAAAGGAAAGGCATGCCGAGGCGCAAAGATCGCGTTCAAGTCCGCGCCGATCGACTGCAAACGTTTGGCTTCCAGGCACAGAAGCATGAACAAAAGCAGTGTGCCGCAGTTGTCTGATGGGGTCCAAACGAAAAGAATCAACACGGCCGCACCATGGGCTTGTCCCTACCCTCCAACACACGAAGCATTTGGGATACCATGGGAGGGAAGGGCAATGCGGCAAGGCACGCGCTAACCGAAAGAACGCAACCCGAAGGGTCTAACCAAAAAACGAAAAATGTGGAGTACTTGAAACGTTGGGGGTGCAAGTTGAGCTCAGAAGTCGCGCCTGCGCGCAGTAATCGATGCCCTCGCCTTGGAAACAGACCAGCCAGGATGGGCCAGGGTGTGAATTTTAAGGGGTGACCCTTTAGACACTTCCATTTGCTTAAGCCCCCAGCAAAAAATAAGATCTTTCCAGTAGTGATAGATTCCCTTTAAAATCAAATTAAATATTCTTAGGCAAATGGAAGGACATCAAGGTGGGGAGTCATGTCCCCCAACTAATGTTGACCCCAGATTAATAAACCTCACTTTTCGTGGGGATTATTCTATTAATAAACAGGGGTTTATTAATCCGGGGTCAACATTACTTTTGAGATGGTGCCCTACTGAAAACCATTCTCCTGTTGGGTGACCCGTTGAAGGGGTTCGGAGAAAGCTGCTCCCTTCCACGAAAAGATGTTACTGGCTGTCCTTTGCGGGCGATCGGATCTCGAGAAACGAACACATTGAGGCGTCTGAGTATAGTCCTATTCTTTGGCTACAGTTGTTGCCTTAAAACGGCAAGAGATATAGATGCTTCACACACTCCGACCAGTGCCATGCTGCACAGCCCACATGGCACAGCGTGTCACAGCTGACCAGACTTCATGCACCCCGTCGACCGAGTTCCTTTACGCTGCCCTGCCCATTGCTGCAGAGGGTCGTGGGCACAAGATGTTTCCCACTGTAATACCATGATACCACAACTTTCCCCCTTGCCTTTGGCAAGAGCAGACACGCCAAAGGCATCACCTTTTGCCATTCCCGATGGAATCCAGGATAAAAACACTCCCCTGGTGGATGAATAGGGGGCAGCAACCCATGGGGATCCGGATCGCTGAAAGAAACACCCTCTGCCAGATTCACATAGGCCAACTCCCCAGACCCGAGGCCAGGGCCGTTATCTTCCGCCCGCACCATTTGAGCCTGACCGAAGACCCACGTGGGCATCTCAAATGCGTTTTTTTGGACCCGCCCCTCGTTGCCCTTCTTAACCCAAGAAAGGGTATTGTAGGCTTCGCGCGGAATCGAGGCCACACACCGCAACAAAGAGGAAACCGTCTCATGACTGCTCCAGTTCCAAAGCAACCCCTGCCACTTGCACGTCGCCACCTTGCCCATCCACTGGAAAGTGACCCCTGCGCCTGCGCGAAGCGTGCAGTGTCAAGGCCTGCATGTCGCGCCGGTGAGTTGGCTCAAAAACAATTGCTTAAGGTTTGGGGGGAGCAAGTTCTCTGTGGCTCGGATGAAAAGTGTTCTCCACAAAAACAAACAAACGTCTCATCGAAAAAAAATGCTTAAGGTTTGGTTGGGGGAACAAGTAAAACTGTGTCTCAAATGGGGGTATACTCTTTCGGAGGGGGGGAAGCCCTTTCTCTCTTTGTTTCTTTGTTGGGCGAGTGGCTTCAAGTGGGCAACTGACAATCTTGGTTTTCAATGGGGACCGTGGGTGTCGGTTGTTGATGGTCCGCTTTCGTTTTCGCGCAGCAATGCAGTCTGGCATTCAAACTGAAATAGCCCGTGAATTTAAACGTTGGCACCAGCTCCAAATGGCCAATCCCCATGCAACAAATGAAATAAGCCACCCTCCAGATCTGGGGCAAATGGAGGTTTGTAGTGGGACTGAGCCGGGAAACCTGTTGCTTGGAGATCCAATGTTCAACGAGTTCGGCGTTTTTGCCCCTTGGGGCCCTTGGGGCCCTTGGGGCCCTTGGGGCCCTTGGGGCCCTTGCACTTGGGCTGTCTGCTCTTCTCTTCGGCGCCGCCGCAAGTTTTCCAGGAACCCGCACGGAGAGAATCGACATGGCTGCAATTTCCACATTTTCATCCTGAGGGTGGAGTCATTTTCATGTTCGGCTTTTCACGTAGCTCCCTCTGATGCATTCAAACTGCGTTTGTACGCATGTATGACACGTCAGCTCAAGCCGTTCAGGACATGTACCAATTTCAATGAACGACCCACCCTAAACCAAAATGCAACAGGCCCAAAACCTTGCACAGCAGAAGGCGGAATAGGTTGGGCTGGGAGATACAAACAGGCACAGGTACCGCCCATATCACAGAGATCAGCCAAGGAAGGAGCATTCAAGTTCTCCGCGGGTTTGCGGAGGATCGGCTGTTGTAGGCATCAGCATGCAGTTTAATCTTCGAACACTTCGACACTTTGAGTCAACTAACAGGGGGCTTGGGGTGCAGAAGTAGCATCGGTGCTGACTTTAGCCACCACCTCCACTGCTGAGCTTTGAGTGGTATCGTGCCTCCATGATACACAGAGATCGATGTTGGCGACTAAGACGGTGGAAGCTGATAATGGAGATTGGGGGAAGGAGCCAGGGAGTAAAAACAAAAAAAAACATGGGAGAAGGACCCCTCGAATTGCCAAGGTTTCCGGAGAACCTCTCGTCCCAACCCGCAGGCGTGTGGCCAAACTCGGTCCCCCGGCCCAGACACTCGGCCAGGCGCCCGGGGCTGGTTCCCTCCACCACCGCCAGCAGCCTCGTCACCAGCGGGTGCACCTGGCAGAAGCTCCGGGGCACCTCATTTTTTGGGAGGGCACCTCAAACTTTGGGGGGGCGCCCCAAAATCCGGTAGTCTTGCTGGTGCGACAGGCAGGGAATGAGAAATGGAATGAACCTAAGGATTCCCTTAAAGGAAACCACAGGGGATGGTTTTTCTAGGGTCGTTTGGGATTCCAAAGGAAAGCACCAGTTGGATGGTTTTTATCTAGGAGTCATTCCAATTCCGATTCCCTACTGAGCACCAGCAAGCAGCCTCCCGAAAAGGACACTGTCAACTACGGGTGGTCTGGTTTGGTGGTTTGGTTTGGGCTACCGTCCTCATTTGGTTTCGAATGGAAGTAGGGTTCCACTCCTATCACCAATCCAAACCGCCAAGCAAACCACCAAGTAGGCGTTACCTGAATCGGGTGGTGGCACAGGATGCGCGCCGAGCACCAAATCGGTGTGCTTGAAACCCATTAAACAAATATGGGATAAGCCACCTAACCGCGAAGTGGATTTTGTCCAACCACGGGGAGATATGCGTGGTTTCCTTATGGCTTAGTGTGAACACTCCTGCGACTCCTGACGCCGGCTTGTGGCTGGTTCACCACAAAAGTCCATCGAATCTGCCGGTTTCTTGGTTCTCTGGCTTAGGGCGCTCCACTTCCGGAGCTTCTGGAGTTGTGGTTCTTCGTTTCTTCCAGCGAGCCTCTTGGGGTGGGAAATCTTCCGGGGGAATCGGGAACTCCGAAAGTAGGACACCCCCCCTCGGGCTGGGAAACCCGTCAGCGGGAAGGGGAAATCCAAGGTGAAAAGGAGAGGGAAAGAGTGGGATGCCTTGGAACCCTGAAAATGGGCGCCCAGGTTCCGGTCAGATTTCTTTCAAAAGCATACCCTCAAAAAGCCCAGATGCCTGGGTTCCACAAAGCACAGTCTCAGTCCCCCGTCACAAGTTGCGCAAGCAAGTTGATGAGCCAGCATCACCAAGCATTCAATAGGTCCAAGCGCAAGCTCAGAGGAACCAGGGGGACTTTCTGGCCCAATGTCTCCTTGAGATCCTCCGCTTGTCCGTGTCGAAGTCAGGCAGCGTGCAAACATCTCTCGCCTGCCTGCTGCTTCTTGTACCAGGCAACGTCCAGGCTCAGATTCGAGTCCTGGCAAGTAAGCAAACGAATTGGTTCCTGACCCGGAACCTGTCGCGCACCCTTGGCTGTGTACCCCAAATGCCTTCAAGTATGTAACAATGTACGCCCTATGAGTGCAGCCCTCTAGAGGCTGTCTGTAGCCAAAACAAGGGTATGGCTCCGCAGAAAGTCGGAAACGAGTTAGAACTCCAGGGGTACAACCTCAGGGTACATGGGTGTTTGTCAAATA